CATGTATTATTGACAAAGTTTTGGGGGGTACCCACGAAGGACGTTGGAGTATACCCATTCCGCCAGCCTACCCAACAGCTTAAACCACCCAACAGCTCAAAATGTCTTGGCATAACAAACACCCTCTTTGTCATAACATGCCTTAACTATATAACACGTTACTATATAAACACAAAGGTAGAGTTAACCTTGCCCTTAAAGCTCTTTATTTAAAATAATTTAAAAGCTAGAGAGTAGCTGCGCGTGCTTTTAATATTAAACAACACATTCTCTCTATATGTGTTAGAGGAGCCCTGTTTATCCTTAAATAAGCACCTAATAGCTGCAAACTTACACTTATAGAAGAGCAAATAATTATCTAATATATCCTTAACCTAGATTTGCAAGGATTCGCGCCCTAGCTGTGCGAGGTAGCAGATATGGCTGATAAAGTGTTGGGTGTACGCGGTAGGCAGCTGGTTAGCAAGCACTAGGCTGAGCGCTTTGTAACGCGCTCAGCTGAGCTTAAGATGGCCTTTAATTAAGCTAAAGATAGGCAGAGGATACTGCAGGAGGATCTAGAGACAATTGGCGCGTGGTTTAAGCTGGTAGAGGACACTAGAGCTAAGTACAGCGTACACAACTACAACATGCACAACTTTAATAAGACTAGCTTCTAGATAGGTGTTATTAGCTTAATAAAGGTTGTTACAGGCGTAAAGAGGTGTACTTAGCCTAAGCTTGTTTAGCTAGGTAATTGCGAGTAGGTAACAGTTATCTAGAGCGTCTGCGCTGCTAGATCTTATACCCTGCCTTTTATTATCTACAAAGGACGTGTTTATATCTCTGCCTAGTACAAGGAGGCAGATATACTGCGCAATTAGAAGCTCTTAGTCTCTTAGAACAGCTAGACAAACAATATACTTAGTCTAGAGTGGTTAAAGCACTTTAACGCGCATACAAAGGCGGGCTAGGTAGGGGCGTACAGGCTGCTTATTTTAGACAGCTATAAGAGCTACCTTAACTAGGATTTTAAGGACTACTACCTTAAATATAAGATCCTCACCCTCTACATACTACCTTACTTATTACACATCCTCTAGCTGCTTAATGTGGTCTACTTCTTGCTATTAAAGCGCAAGTACTCTTAGCGCGTATAAGACTTAGTATGTAAGCATGTCTTCTATATTAACAAAGAAGGCTTCCTACTAGCCTTTAAAGATATATTTTATAATATATTTATAGAGGTAATCTATTATAAGGCCTTTAAGGTATTAGGACTTGTCCCTCTTAATACATAGGTTGTATTAGATTGCCTTAAAGTACAGCTATGTACCCTACTAGAACCCCTCCTTCTAGAGATGCTGTAGTTGTTAAAGACTCTAAGTAATACACATAAGTTTAGATTATAATTAAAGCTTGTACGCAAGTCCTTTACTTGTTCTCCTATTACCACGCAGGCAGGCTTCTCTTAGCTTATTAGAGGCAGTGAGCTTATGCTGTATTAGAACGCGCTTTAAGCAGCCTAGATTACTAAGCTTAAAGAGCAATTAGTAGTGATAACTAAAAGGAAATCGCGCAAAAGGAAGTGGATCTAGCATGGCGGCACAATAGAGTATAGTGAGGCAGCAGCCTAGGTGGCCGCAGAGGCCTCTATAGCCGCTGAGCGGTTGAAGAAGGCTTGTTGTGGTGGTGATCAAGAGAGAGCCTAACTAGCTTTACAGCGCTGTAGGAACTACAGCAAGACTAGGCATAACGCGCAAACGTGTAAAAAGGATATAGAGGAGACTTCTAAATTAGAGGTTAGTACAGCATACACAGGCTCCTTGTATAATAGTAATAAAAATAGAAATTTGTAACTAGTGTTAGTTATGCTAAGACATTTTAAGCTGTTGGGTGGTTTAAGCTGTTGGGTGGTGGAATACGTTACTATACTTCGCCTTTATAGACTAAACAAGCGTGAACTAGGGCTGGATAACTGCTAGGTCCTTGCAGGCAGCCCGCTGGCGATTGTATGGGCGGGTCCACCGCTTCTGGAGCTCTGGTGTACGCTTTACCAAGTTGTTAACCCAGTTCTTGCTAACAGGCTTTGCGCCGCGCTCTCTTAGCAGTTTATCTGTAAAGTTATAAGACTTTGTTCTTATAATCTTTCTCTAGCGTATTTCCTTCTTAGGTATAGCGCTATGCTTACCTAAGCATTGTTATTGTAATCTCTAAGAAGAGAGGATTAGAATAGTGTGCTTACAAAGCCTGTATCTCCTCTTGTTCTTAAGATATGCTGTTCTCTATTTTTAGTAACTAGAAATGTTCTAGACCCTCTGCTTACAAATAGAGTAGCCTATTCTGTAAGATGCTAACGTATACAATTACGTATGCACCTATGTAATCTTGCTTATATATGCAGCAATACTAAGCATAGATTACAAAGTAGACCTACCTAGAGGAGTCTAGAACGTTCTGCTTAGAAATACAGACAGAGGAGAGGAAGTATAAATACCTCTAGCTCTCCCCCCTCTGTTTGCTCTGTACCTAGCCTAGGAATCTTTCCCTAGTATCTAATATAATAACTTGTCTATTATATTACATAACCCTACCTTACCTCTATTAGGCTATACGCTTCCTATTTAGACAAAGCTAGTCTAGATTTGTCTAGGTCCTTCTAGACTAGGAAGAAAGTAGTCTAGTCCTTCCCCTACTTTCTTTACAATATTTACTATTTGTGGGTGGCTGTAGAGCCTCATTTTTGTGAGCCTGTTGGGGCCAAAAATCGTGCATTGCGCGCACGGACACGGCACTCGGCTTGAAGACACCAGACTTTGTACGCCAGATTAGCCTTAATACACACCAAACACTGCCTCAGCCGAAATATGTCATAAAGCGACAAGCAAAGAGGCAAAACTGGTGCACGTCGATCTGATGATGGTTACCAGCGTAGTGGAAGCTCCAGCCAGGGTGAATTTGAGACTGACACCGAAGCAGCCCGCTATTCAGCCCAATGCCGAACTCGCCTCGATCCTACAGTCGAACTAACGAGTACGCATTCTGATGTATGGCTTGGGAACATGGATCCACCAGCCGCGTTCGTTAGTCCCCGGCACCGGAGCCTGGTCAAGGAGATGTATAACCGTGGACCGCCACGATCTCAGACAGGCCTAAGGTTCGTACCGTTACATTTTATGAGAGATGTGGCTCACAACGTGAAGCAGAGAGTTGGCTCTTCGCTTTACGTTCGCGACACCACCTGCTCCGATGACCTCCTGGTAACAAGCAGCTATCGTATATAACCACAGGACTCGTCCACGAGTGTAAGGGAGAGATCTTCGCGAGACCCGGTTTACTCCGTATATCGTCCTGAGGAGTCTGACGCTCTTTCATTTGAGGGCGATTTTGAAGGCTGCCGCGGGGTATATGCAAGCTGGGCTGACGTCAAAAAGGCTTGACTCAACTATAATTGGAATGAACTTGGCGCACTCTCAATGAATGGCTCACGCGGATGATGGAAGATTCATGCTTTGACGTTGCGTACAGACATGATACATAGACTTACAGAGGGCGCTCCAGATGCACCTAAGCCGCCTGATCGAAGTTGCGGATGGGAGGCATCATACCAAGCCCCTTACCCTCTGACTCCTTTGCCCCGCCCTTTGTGTCTGTAACACCACCAGCACTCCTCTCCTTGACATGGCGCCTCAACAGCGACAAAATTTCACTACCCTTCCACCTCTGAGGTACAGGCCTGTACGCAGGCTTGAATGTGCCAACTGTTTGGGCCCACTCGCCAGTAGCAGGCTCGCGCTTCTGCTCGTCCTTGGGCTCCATGTCCTTTCCCTGCACGTTCTGTGTGGCAAAGTTGTCGTGACCGCCCTCAGCGGTCTCGTGGGAGGTCGGCGTAGGTTCCTGTGTGGCCCAGTAGTAAATGTCCCAGTCGTTCTCGTCGAGGAAAAGGTCGTACTGCTGGAGCAGTTGCGGAGGCATAGTGCCGAGCTTGGCATCGGCGAAGGTGCTGAGGAGTAGATCGCTCTCTAAAGTTCCTCGTTTACGGCTCTGGTCTGGTAATTGTTAGCATCTGTGGCACAAAAGCGCGTGATTTCAATGTTGAAGAGGACTTCTGGCATAGAGGCAGCGCAGGGAAGTGGAACGGACATAGTAATCGTGCACGCATGGTATTCGCATCCTCTCCCGTCCGCCTAATTGGCTCAACCTTGAACCTGACAAAGGTATGTAGTGAGCACGAATCCTATATGGCTACCCAAATGCAAGATGCGGCTTACTTGGCGCCCTCCAGCTCTCCAACACCAAGCTCAGCGTTGCTTTCACTGACTTGCGAGTCCTCGCTGCTCTGCGTGCCACCGGTCATGCGGTGTGTGTTCTCGGGCTTAGAGTCCTTGGGGAGGAAGTTCTCATCGACATTCTTGATGAGCTCAGGAGGCGGTGCGTCCTTGCCGACTGAGGGCATCTCGTTTGCGATGGTCGAGGTGGTGTTGGTCATGTGGGGGTTGAGGTTCTTCTCCATTTGGAACTTGCGGTACTGCTCAGACGTATCATTTGTGCGCTTGTTGAGAGCTTCGAACTGGTTGTTGCGCGCTGCAGAGGTGCTGAAGGAGCGGCATGTCGTGCGCGGAGCAGCGACGATCGCGCGTGATAAACGCATAGCAAGCCTGGAGGAAGCCATCGTGGTGTTCGAGGTTCGAGGGGACCTAATTGGGCGATGGGTTGCTGTTAGGGAAGATTTGGTTCAGCCGAGGGAATCGAGCGCGTCATTGCTTTGCTGACTAACGCGAAATGAGAACTCTGCGATCGGCTATTGAAGTCCATTACCCTGTCCATTCGTGACAACGATCACCACGCATTCTTTACGACGGTCCGTCAGTAACGCAGCACAGACTGGAATGCCGAGGCACGCCGTCATGGAGCTGCTGTGATCAAGGAGCCCTTCAAGAATAACTTCCGACAAGCCAGACAACATCAACCACGCAGTAGACATTTCCCAAGCACGCTGGTCCGCCCGAAAGAGCTGCTCCTTTCCGACAACCGGGCCGGTAGCTCTTTCCGAGCATCAACCCCACCACCGCAGCTGGCGATAATGGAAGCTGTTGAACCCTACCGACCGAGGGCGACTGATGACCAAGCTTGCGGATTTGATGGAGCAGAACCGTGAGCTTTTGGCTACGATACGAAGGAGCTCGTTTTTAGTCATGCACCGCACTGGCCACCCCCACCAAAATCAATGCGTAAACACCAAAACACCATACTATGCACTGCGATAACTTTCCTAAAACTTAATATATTTTTATAAATAATGTATAAGGCAACGCGCAGAAAGCTAATAAAGAAGAAGGGGCGCGCTCCTACTATAAAAAAGACGTCATGTTGTGAGTTAACTGCGATTGAGCGCGCGTTTATTGCGGGCGCGTGCATCGCAGGCAGTCTATCACACAACAATTACGCTAACCTCTTCCCCCCCAGCGTTGCCAGCAAGTCTACGATTACTAGAACTGTACAGTGAGTTAATGAGCAGGCAGCTGAACTAAACACTACAATTATTGACCCTTGCTGCTACGAATTCGCGTCTACTAGAGGCGCGCTGCGACTGCTCGACGATGAGCAACGCGCTCGCGTTGTGGAGCTCACTATTGCGTCGCAGGAGAGCCAGGAGAAGGAGAGCTGGCAGGCCATCAAGGATGGAGACTTTGTAAGCACTGGCCTGCCAAATTTCAGTGTATCGCTTCACGAAAATATCATGTACAATGCTAGTTACGCACGCTGGTGACCAGGCTGGAAGCTACCTCTTAACAACGAGCAGAAGCGCGAGCGTTTGGAGTAGGCGCTTGCCCACAACCCTGATAAATACAAGTATAGAGATAGTAAAGGATTTAATTTTACTAAGGTTGTGTTTACTGACGAGACTCCAGCTTGTATTAGTAAGGAGCGCGGCATGCAGAGGGTATGGTGTAGGGATGGCAAGCAGTACAATGAAGGAGTTAAAAAGGATTGTAACTGCTGCGCTTGTTGCCTACAATTCTACAGAGCCTTTTGTTATAACTATAAGGGCCCTTGCTATACCTATTTTAAAGAGACAGCAGCACAAAAACAGTTAGCAGAGGAGGCGTTAGCAAAGGAGAATGCACAGCGCAAGCACAATGACAACACACTCTAGGGCAACGCGCGCAAGGCACTTGCAGTAATACAAGAGAACAATATTAATTACTGTTACAACACTAGAAAGAAGCAATATGTACCCTCTTAGTATGACTATAAGCGTGGGGGGCGTGATAATGGGGGTGTTGATGGGTACAGGCATTGCGAGGGTGCACTTAAGAGCATTACCCTATAGATTAATTCACTTAAAAGGAAGGGATTACGCTGTATACTACTACAGGATGGGGCTCTAGCTCACAAATCACGAATAGCCCGCAATTACTGTACTGTAGAGCGTATAGAGCGCATGTGGTGGCCTAGCCACTTACCCAACGTTAATGCATCTGAGCATGCCTGGCCATAGATTTAACGTTATGTGACTTAGGATTTCACGCCAAGCTGCACTAGGATAGAGTGCAAGCGACAGTGGGAGGAGGAGTGGGATGTGATACCTATAGAGGTGATAAATAAGTAGGTGATAAGTAGCGTGCACAGCCTCGTAGTGCACACCGGCGCGTAATGCACACCCCACCACCTTTTGCACCCCCAAATAAGTGAGGTTATTGAGCAACATCACAATGCTAGTATTGCAAGATAAGTTAGTAGATTACTATATAGACTAACGTACTCTATCACTGAGCCGGTCATATCACCAAACCAGTCACTTAAAATCCCACCAAAAAACACAGAAACTATACCCCTGCATCTTAATAACTACTTAATAGAATCTTCTAAAAAATTTAGAATAGAGCTACATCTATACTAATAAAACTATTTAAAAGTCTTAGACTAATAGCTAGTATAGATGTTAAGATAGCCTGTAGCTACCCCTGTATTTTAGTATCTTCTAAACAACATCTGTAATATAGGGCTAAGCACTCTAAGACTTTTAAACAGTCTTATTAGTATAGATATAGCTCTATTCTGAAGTTTTAGAAGATTCTATTAAGTAGTTATTAAGATGCAGGGGTATGGTTTCTGTGTTTTTTGGTGGGATTTTAAGTGACTAGTTTGGTGATATAACTGGCTCAGTGATAGAGTACGTTATTGCAAAACTTTTAGCTACTATAGTTTTCTAGGAAGATGCATGGTATGGCCAGTAGATGCCTTAGTAGGTGGTAGTGGTGAGGGTGCCTTATAGGCAACACGCCGCCTTTACGCAGCACCACCACCATAATTCTTTATTACTTTTAACTTAGATTTCTGTAAGACCTTACTCTTAGCCTATTTAGGTAATTAAGTACTTTCTTCTATATTGCTCTTGTGCTAAGCCTCTTCTTTATAAGCCTTAGTTTAAGCACGCTTTACAGCCTGTGCCTTAGCTGTTAATACCTTCTTCTTCTCTTACTTAACACGCTTATCCTCCTTCTCCTTTGCTTAAATAGTCTTCTTCTAGTGTTAAAGCTCCTTCTTAGTAGCTTTTACTGCCTCTATAGCGCGCTTAAGGTCCTCTTTTGCCTAAAGTTCTTGCTTTGCGCGCTTAATGCGTAAAGGACTCTACAAGACTACACTACTACTATTATTACTATTAATAGGTTGCAAAGGTAGTACCTTTTACTTCCTCTTCTTCTTCTTGTTTATACTTAGAGCCTCTTCTAGGCCTATAACTCTGTGTAAAACAACCTCTAATTACACGTAGAGTTAGTAAAGCGCTTAATTAAGTGCCTTATTAGCACTAGACTTATCCTCTTCTCTTGCACGCTTAAGTAGCCTTTAAGTCTTGCGCTAACTAGGTAGTTCTAGTGCAGGCTTAAGCCTAGTCAGCTCTAGGGTTGTGCTAGGCGACTTTAGTGTTGTATTTTTAAAACTTTCAAGGACAACGTCGGCATCTAGTAGGTAGATCCTAGTGCACCTAAAGGCCTCTTCTATAAGGCCTTTAGTGAAGGTCTTCTTCCACGCTGCCCAGAAGAGTGGGAAGAAGTCGCTCTGAGCTACAGGCGCCCACCCCTCAGTAGTGTGGCCGCGATGAAGGAGCTCTTCAGAGTAGTGATGCGCCAACGACCTAAAGCACGCTACATCAAGCGGCTGAAGCGCGTGAGTAGCATGTGGAGGGAATAGAAGTACCAGAATCTTGTTAGCATGAGCGTACTCAATAAAAGCCTTCGTAACGTGGCTACCATAACTATCAAGGATCAAGAGTTAGTACTTCCCTCGCGCTCTGACTCTAGTATAGCGATTGAACACCTGCTTAAGCTAGGCAAGTCTAAGGGCATCATTTGTCTAGCTATTTAGTAAGGTACTAAAGTGCATACAGTCTTTCTTAGCTTTAAATTCCTTTAAATAGCTGTGTTGCACAGTAAGGGAAGATAAAGGGAAAATAACTGCAGGCAGCAACACAAAACTATTAGCTCCTACTGCTCCTACTACTGTCACCTACTTCCTGTTGCTATCATGAGATGCTAGCTTAAATCTCTAGAGTTTAAAGAGCTTCTTGTTAAAAATTCTAACGCTCTTTCTAATTACTCTAATCATGAAGCCCTTCTTATCTATATTGTACGTGTTCTCCACCTCTATTGCATGCTGCTTTATTATACTGTGCAGGAGATTAAAATAGAGGCGAAAGGAATCATATAAAGCAGCGTCGTGACGCTGCTTCTCCATAGGCGCTGACCAGGCGGTAAGGAGTTTGTTGGGGTAACGATGAAGGAAGCAAGAAATCTATCAATTGCTCAGCGGCCACCTGCACAGAGGCGTGATTATTCTCACAAGAACCTTCTTGTAGGCATAAGGTGTCTCTCTGTAAGCAATTTAACGTACTGTACAATCTCTACCTCATCGTGTAGGTGGAGAACTAGCTAGTCTTTTGCCTTGTCTTCACGCAACGCGCATATGCCGTGGTAGCAGCGCGTCAAAGTTAAGCAGTAACAACTATGTTTTTTGGCAAGAGCTTAGTACAAAAGTGTATTGTCAAGTCCTAAAGTATCTAGCTCTGCAAGGGCTTCTTCTAGCGGCATCGTGGTGTTGAGTTATAGGGGGTGCAAAGTAGGCGTCAATGTTGGTGGGGTGTGCATTACGCGCCGGTGTGCACTACAAGGCCGTGCACGTTATACCTGAGGTGATGAGACGTAACGTAGATTATCACCGAGCCGGCCATATCACCGAACCAGCCACTTTCTCTTGGCACAACCACCTTTTACCCCAACATAACATGCCTTAATAACAACAACTTTAGAATACTACTAGAGAAGGCAGAGTTATCCTTGCTATCTAGGCCTTCTACGCTAGCTAATTTTGCAGTATCTACAGCACTGCTAGAGTGTTAAATATAACGTACTCTATCACCGAGCTGGTTATATCACTAAACCAGTCACTTAAAATCCCACCAAAAAACACAGAAACTATAACCCTGCATCTTAATAACTACTTAATAGAATCTTCTAAAAACTTTAGAATAGAGCTGTATCTATACTAATAAGACTATTTAAAAGTCTTAGAGTGCTTAGCCCTATATTGCAGATGTTGTTTAGAAGATACTAAAATACAAGGGTAGCTGTAGGCTATCTTAATATCTATACTAGCTATTAGTCTAAGACTTTTAAATAGTTTTATTAGTATAGATGTAGCTCTATTCTAAAGTTTTTAGAAGATTCTATTAAGTAGTTATTAAGATGCAGGGGTATAGTTTCTGTGTTTTTTGGTAGGATTTTAAGTGACTAGTTTGGTGATATGACTGGCTCGGTGATAGAGTACGTTACCTTATTAGCAGGTCTCTAATTACCTTCACAATATTACGTTTTAACTAGACATAACGTACCTCACGGGCGAGTGGCCGGCCCGGGCGAGTGTCCGGATTTTGCCAAGACCACACTAAACTTCATACAACCCGCGATGTCTCAACACAAAAAGGCTTAAAGCGTCTTAAAGGAACTAGATATACAGCTTGCAATCTAGGCTCTTAAACAAGACGCGACTCTTACTATTCCACATGCTGCAACAATCTACAAGGTGTTAGAAAGAACGCTAAGATAATAACGTGCTAGAACGCTCTTAAGACGCGATTGTAAGGTCAACTTAATGAAGCTGACAAGCACTGAAGAGGAGGTGATTGTGCAGCATGTTCTGAAGCTGGACGAGCGAGGATACCCACCCTAGCTTACTGATGTGGAGGATATGGCCAACTCTCTACTCACTGAGCGCCACCAGCCTCCTGTTGGCAAGAACTGGGCTAGCACGTTCGTTAAGCGTCGCCCAGAGCTCACAGTCAAGTTTAATCAAAAGTACGACTACAAGAGAGCCCTCTGCAAGGATCCTAAGGTAATCTAGGGCTAGTTCCACCTAG